CTCTCCTCTCTCTCTCTCCCCTCTCTCCCCTCTCCCCCCTCTCTCCCTCCCCTCTCCCCCCTCTCTCCCGTACCTTGAACTTGGCGGTGATCTGTGAGATGAGGGGGATGAACTCCTGCAGGTCTCTGGCCTCGCAGCCCTTCANTCTCTTTCTCTCCTCTCTCTCTCCTCTCTCTCCTCTCTCTCTCCCCTCTCTCTCTCTCCCTCTCTCTCCCGTACCTTGAACTTGGCGGTGATCTGTGAGATGAGGGGGATGAACTCCTGCAGGTCTCTGGCCTCGCAGCCCTTCAGCATGTGCTGGGAGGCAGAGGGGATGAAGGGCAGCACCTCCTCCTCCATGCAGATGATCATGCGGTGCAGGAAGGATCTGACGGCGCTGCGCAGAGAGCCTTTCTGCAGCGGCACGCTGAGCGCAGGGAGGAAGGTCTGCAGGCAGCCGCGATACACCTCCGAGCAGCCGGACAGCTTCACCGTCTGCTTGTTGCTGAACGCCTTGCTGGTGCGGCTGCAGAGGAGAGGGGGGGGTTACATGTGATATCCGAAGATGGCGGTCGTGCTAAGACGGAGGTGTGTGTTATTATCGAGCAGCACAGGTACCTGGCGAAGCCCACGGCGTGGCTGAGGCAGTCTCCGATGGCGCTCTGTTTCTCCTCGTCTCGCTCCAGACTCAGTTTGTTCAGCAGAACGTTGAAAGCGTCCATCAGCGGCTGCAGGAGGCTCGTCATCATCGCCGTCTTCCTCTCCACGGGACTCTCCCCGTGAACGATCAGAACCCCCGCCGCCTCGAACATGAACAGCTGGTCGTCGCTGGTGAGCAGCACCGGGAACCCGTTCTCCTGAAATAACAAGAAATATATTTTAATAAACGTAAAGGAAGAGTTTGAATGGTTGTGTTTGTTCGAGGTCTCACGGGGGGGCTGAGCTCCAGCAGGTCCTGGATCCTCGTCAGCACGTCCTCCACGAACGCGTTCATGTGTTTACTGCAAAGACAGACGCATGTTTTACAGTTACAAGAAACATCGGAAATATTCCCTGAAATGTAAGTGGTGGATTGACAAGAGGAAATAATTTTTAATTGAATATTTTCTCCATTTTTAAATCGGGAAAAAAACAAGAATATTTTATAAAATAAATTATTATTTTATCAGAAAAAAAACATATTTGTAAAAATATTTTCTGATATTTGAGGAGATTTTACGAGAAAATAAATTGATGTGATCTAAAAATGTTCAATAACTTTTTTTTTAATTTATATTTCCTGAAATTCATATCGTAACTTCACGTGAAAGAAATATTTTCCTAAATTGCATTTGAAATGTGATGGAAGGTG